TGTGATTAGTACTTAAAAGTGCATTTTTATCATGGTTTTATATTATCATTTTGCACTTGAAGTATCAATAACTCCTTAACTAAAGCATGCTTTATAATAATATATCTAATAATTTAAGATACCTTTAATTTATGGTAAATGTTCATTTTAAATGTAGGCCTATCACATAAATGAAAGGATTGATTGATGACTTTAAGAACTTAAATTGTAAGGGCAAAAAGATAACCAAAATTAGAAAAGAGATGTCGGTGCAATCCAAACCGGAACACTGTTCGGTAATTGTGTCATATCTAGAGCTTTAGATCTTAGATTTAGGTCTACTTTATATGGTTGGAAAGGTAAGACATAGGCCTACAACTTTCATATCGAGCCTAAGATCTAAAAAGGCCATTTTCAAGTCCAAATGGTGCTTGTTTCATCCGTGATTTCTTCCTCAGAATAAATCATTTGCAAATCTTCAGTTTCATCCAATTCATTTTTACTTAAAGTAGATTCAAGTTGATCATAAACTAATTCATCAATATGATCTACTTCTTGTAAATCATTATCATCTCCAGGTTGCTTGCAAATGTTGAAAATATTCATCTCCAATGTCATGTTTCCAAATGATAGCTTCATCAGTCCATTCCTACAATTAATCAATGCATTAGAAGTTGCAAGAAATGGACGTCCTAAAATAACAGGAAATGAATTACATGCTTCAACAGGTTCTGTGTCCAAGACAATAAAATCCACAGGATAAATGAATTTATCGACTTGTACTAACACATCTTCAATTATTCCTCTAGGCACTTTTACAGATCTATCGGCAAGTAAAAGAGATATAGAAGTTGGTTTTAACTCACCTAGATTGAGACTTTGAAAAACTGAATATGGAAGTAAATTCACACTAGCTCCAAGATCAAGTAAGGCTCTTTCAATTTTATGCTCTCCAATAAAGCAAGAAATTGTAGGACAACCAGGGTCTTTATATTTCAAAGCATTATTGTTTTGAAGAATAGCACTTACTTGTTCGGCTAGAAAGGCTTTCTTTTTCACATTCAGTTTCCTCTTCACAGTGCATAGATCTTTCAAAAATTTAGCATAGGAAGGAACCTGTTTAATTGCATCCAGCAAAGGTATATTGATCCTTACCTGTTTGAAAATTTCATAAATTTCAGAATTGTGATTGACTTTCCTTTGTTTGGTCATGGCTTGAGGAAATGGAAGTGCTGGTGGTGAATCAGTCGTTTCTTTGCAATTTTCAGATTCATCCCCTTCCTTACCCTCAGAGATTGACTCATCATCTTTCTCATAAGGTTCAAGAGAGGGTTTTTCAATAACCTTACCACTGCGTAGAGTAGTGACTGATTTGACTTGATCCATGTGTTGGCTTCTGGAACTACTTGCATTTGCATTGTATTGCCCTTTGGGATTTTGTTGTGTTTGAGATGGAAACTTACCTTTCTCTTGGAAACTGAGAGCAGATGTTAATTTAGCAAGAGTATCTTTAAAATCTGTCATGTTTTGAGCAAGTTGAGTATTGATTGTCTCTTGCTTTTCAATGAATGCATGCAATGTTTCCTCAAGATTTCTTCTAGGAGGTGGAGCATAAGGAGGTGCATATCCATGAGAATTTTGGAAATTGTGGTGTGCTTGAAATGGTGGTTGTGAAGTTTGTGCATTGTTGTTCTCACTCTTCCAACTAAAATTTGGGTGATTTCTCCAACCAGGGTTGTATGTTTGGGAGTATGGGTTGTGGTTGGGCCTTTGGAAAGTGTTTAAAGCATGGGCTTGTTCATGGAGACATTCTTTAAAAGAAGGCAAGGTTGGACAATCGTTGGTTGAGTGTTCATTTGTTTCACAGATTTGACACACAATGTTTTCAACAGATTTTAATTGACCACTCTTTTTCAATTCTAGTGCCTCGACTTTTTTAGCTAAAGATGCAAACTTGGCTTGAAGGTCATGATCTTCCCTAAGGTTGTACATACCTCCACTAGATGTATGAGGTTGAGTTTTACTCGGTGCCTCATATGTACCCGCGGTGTCCCAATTTTGAGCATTTTCAGCTAACAAGTCTAAGTACTCCATTGCTTCATCAGGTTCTTTATCTTCAAAAGTTCCATTGCACATTAATTCAACCATTTGCCTATCTTTAGGTGTTAACCCTTCATAGAAATGTGAAACCAATCTCCATGTTTCAAAACCATGATGAGGGCAGGTATTAAGCAAGTCTCGATACCTATCCTAATATTGGTAAAATGCTTCTCCTAGTTTTTTAGTGAAAGTGGTGATTTGTCTTTTAAAAGAGTTTGTTTTGTGAGACAGGGAAAACTTTTTTAAAAACTATTATTGCATTTCATCCCAAGCATGAATGGATCCTGGTCTCAAATTTTATAGCTATGTTTTAGCTTTATGTTTTAATGAAAAAGAAAAAAGCTTTAATCTAATGGTGTTCATACTACAATTTAAGTCATTATAGGTGTTACAGACCTCCTCAAATTCCCTTAAATACAAGTATGGATTTTCTAAATCTAAGCCATGAAAAGAAGGTAAAAGTTGAATAACGGTGGCTTAAAATTAAATGAGATGCATCAGGAGGGAAGCCTATCCATAATGGTGCACTTGTTCTTGTGGGATTCATGTGGTCTCTACGTGTTATAACACGATTATTCTCATTATTCTCATTATAAAGTGATTGATTATCTTCTTCGGTCATATTTTCTGAAAATGATGAAGATACCCTACAAAGTCTACCACTTGATATACATGACCACACTCTCATACACATGTAGGAATAGAATAAAAGGAAGAAGAAAACAAAAGAAGAAGAAACAAAGTTAGATACAAGAAAAGAGAAAAGAGAAAATAAAACAAATACTATAATTTGTACAAGAACTTACCTCCCCAGAAACGGCACCAAAAACTTGACATGACCAAAGAATTGATGTCTTCTCCCAAATGTAGGAGTGTTGAAGTAATAAATAACCCGGCAAGACCGGGTTCGAACCACAAGGAGGTTAATTATATAAATTATAAACAACAACAATAGTAAAAACAACAATAACAACAACAACAATAATAATAATAGTAATAGTAATAATAATAGTAATATTACTAATAATAGTAGTAATAGTAATAATAATAATAATAATAATAATAATAATAAAGAAGTTGATGAGAACTTTGAGATGGAAGATCAATGGAAGGATGAGACAATGATAACAACAAATGTTAAGGTTAGAGGATCCACTAATGGTATTTCAAACAATTATAGTATAAACTCTTATTACTCAAATGAAAACCACACACAAAGGAGGTTTCAATCAGATTGTAAATTGTTAACATGATTACATTAGTTATCTTATTTGATTAATGCTAATACTTGTAAATCTCATCAGGTATTCATGATTATAACTTATGTTAACAACAAATTAAATTCCTTTCATAGCTCAGGCGTCGGTTATACCATACAGTATGGGTTATAAAAGTGTCAAGCATTTGTTGTACCAAGTGTTATACAACATAAATCTAGATTAGTCATTAAACAAGCAAAGTATTAAAGAGTGAACAAGATAACAAATATAAAACTTTGTTAGTATCAAACATTAAAGTCCATGTTAAGTTTACATTATACTTATTCTTACACCATTAGTATAACCTTTTCACCTTGACATAATAAACTTAACTAAACATAATAAATGAAATAAGAACATAAATAAGATAAAAGTTAACTAAGTAAAGGAAAGGAATTAAAAGGCATAAATAAGATATTAATGAAAATAAAACTTAAGCATTACAAAAATACAAAGAGAGAAAGCAAAAGCTTAATCTTGATCTGAAGACTAAGATGCCTAAATGCATGACAAATGCCTCCTTTTATAGGCCAAAATTGGAAACTATTGATTTGATGACTAATTGATGAGTGGGTTACCAACTCTTGACTTGATGACAATCTTTATCTTCTCTTGTTTGCCCAAAACGTCATTGATAACGTCAGAATTGGAACCACTTCAAAACATGAAAGTTGTAGGAAATTGTCTCATCTTTCTAGGGGAAAAAATGGAAGTCATTTGAACTTCTAGAACTCCAGATATGGGCCAAATACTGAACAGTGCTCGGGTTATAGGATAGATTCAGACTTCTTTGTTGTTGCTATAATTTGGACTTGAAAATGATCTTTTTAAATCTTGAGCTCCATATAAAAATTGTAGGCCTATGTCTTACCTTTCAATGCATATAAAGTATATCTAAATCTGAGATCTACAGCTCCAAATATGATCCAATTACCGAACAGTATTCCGGTTTAGACTGCACCAGTATCTCTTTTCTAAGTTTGGTCATCTCTTTGTCCTTTCAATTTCAGTTTTTAAACTCATCAATTAATCCTTTTATTTATATGATAGGTTTGCATTTAAAATGAATATTTACCACAAATTAAAGGTATCTTATATTATTAGATATGTTATTATAAAACATATTTTAGTTAGGGAGTTATTGATACTTCAAGTGTAAAATAATGATATAAAATCATGATAAAAATATATTTTTAAATACTAATCAGCTAATATATACATTTTGTTTACGATCTCCTTGCTAAATTGAGAGGAAAAAATAAACTTATATGAAGAATCTTTATTAAAAAACTTATATTATAAAGAACTTATTCTTATTACCATAAATAAGTTGCATGTATCCTAACATTTTTATCACAAAAAACAAAACATAGATAGGTCAAATTTCTGTTTGTTAATATTTAAAAAAAAAAATACTAAGATACTATTATTGCTCATTGGAGACGGAATCTTAGAATTAGTGTCCCTTGCATTAAGATACTTTTTTTTTTTTTTGAGAGGAAAAACTGCACAAAGTATTTTGAGTCTACAAGCCTTAACTGGAGTTTGATGAGTTTTGACCTATCCAATCAATCAAAACGTGGAGCAGTTTTTCCTCTTCAGTGTACTATTACCGAAATACCTTCAACAGACCCCATTAAAGAATACAACACCATGCTACTTTCTGTTCTGTTTTCATTAAAAAAAAAAAACCCAACTTTCCCTCTCCTCATCCCATATAACCCACCACCATCATTCCTCTTCCTATCAACAAATCATACTTGAGAGAGAGAGAGAGACTTGAATGGAAGGGGAGATGGGAAGGAGCGGAAGCAGCAGCAAGAAGAGGAAGATGTGGCTTTTTAAGAGGTTAAAGATGAAGGAATCTTGGAGATGGAGATTGAGGTTTTTGGTTTCTGCTTTCAAGTGGAAAAGGCTTAACATACAGCTTTCTTTGCTTGACGATTTGCTTTTCAAGATCATCTCTGTTTTAGAGGCTATTGTCTTGGTTACTACCTTGTGCTTCTTTTTTCTTTGTTGTGGCTGCCATTTTTGACATTAGTCTCTTTAATGTTATTTTGGTTCAAAAATTTTATGTTCCATGTTTAATGTTATTTTGGTCCATGTTCTCTTTTCTCTTTTCATGGTATGTATAGTTTCTTAAATCTTTGGAGGGAAAAAAAAAGGGAGAATTAGGATGGACTGTATGCTATACGGTTTTCGTCTGTTAGTGCAAGCTGTTCATGATGGGAATTTGGCACAGCTTAAATTGAATTCTCAAATGCAATATTGAGTCGAATATAAAGTCAGAATTCTGAGTTGAAGATGACAAAAACTAATTTGACACAGATTTCTGGAATCTGGACCAGTTGTTGTTAAGGTTTTCATGTTTTATTTTTAGTGAAATTTTCTTTTTACAGGGTTATTTATTTGAGCATTCCTTGTGTTAGTGGAGAGACTTGTCCAAAAGCAAAATTGAGCCTTATTTTAGCTAAATTTGAGCCCTTGGTTTCTGTTCTGCCTTGCAAGGTGAGGCTTTTGCGATTAGAGAGGCAATCAAGACGTTTGCACATATACCTGTCGGTATTGAATTTGATGCTGCAATTATTGCTCTTGCTGCTGTCCGGCAAAATCTATTTTATTTAGCAACCATTTAAACCTGCAAAGATTTCAATCACCCATCAGGGATTTCGTGTGAATTATATTGATTAAGAATAAACCAAAGAATGAACAAGGATGATAAGAAATTATCTGGCGTTATGTCCACTTTGCATCCTTAATTTGTTTGAAAATAACGAAGAATGAAGCAAATTTTGTTTCCCAACTAAGGACAGCCAAGAGACAGCCTGGGAAGGAACTTGAGGTAATAAAAATTGTGCCCAGACATAACTTTATTGTCAACAGTCGACACCTATGAAGGATCAGAATTGTCAACAGGAAGTTCTGAAAAGAAATGGAGTTCTTCAGGACCAAGTGATGATAATTTTTAGGGGACCCAAGCCCCTTTGCCAGCGTGTTTTGCTCCACATTAGGACAACAGTCAAAAGTATTTCCCAAACAAGAATAGCTTGTGTCGGAATGTGCATGGCGTTAAATAGCAGAATTTTTTTCTAAATTAATGAATGTTTTGAAATTAATTATAAAATTATAATTTGGGTGAATCCACATGTAAATTTATATTTATTAAAAAACAAATTGATTTATAAGAGTTTAGATAAGAAAACTAGTTACACAAGATAAAGATACATTACCCTAATCATACCTTATCTATAATAAATTACATTGTTGAATGGTTGTTTTCTAAATCATATTCTTATTTATTAGTCTCATCTAAAGTTTAAAATAGATTTTTCTTTATAAAAAAATCATTATCTTATTAAGTTAAATCATAATCATTCTAGGCCTTAAATTTTAGTATCGTATTTATTTTCTACTTTGTATCTGTATTAACTAAGGATTGCTTTACAATGTAATTTTATTCCCTCAAACAATAAAGTCTACAACTAATTCATAAAGTTTATTGTTATTAATTCATTTTATTTTGTATCGAGAGTATGCATCACATAGTAAAATTCATACCCCGGATATTAATTAAACAAATCAATTTTTAAGGTATTTTTAAAATTTTAAATAAATTTTACTGGATAATCATAAATTGGTTATGATATTCATTTTATATTTTTAAAACATGATGAGAACACAATTTTTGTTTTTTAGAAAATATGCATGAAAAAATATTTAGAATTTGGTCATATGTACGTAAACAAAACATGTTTTTGTGTTTTTTAAATAAAGAAATCTTTTTAATCCTTTTGCATTTTTTTTCAAAGTTTCAAGAAAAACCTAGTATTTTTAATATTAATTTTGTATCTTATATTGTAAGTTTACAACTTGATATTAAATAAAATTATTAGAAAACATGCAAGAGACCCATAAATAATTTTAAAATGATCATTAATTTTTTTCAAAATTTTAAAAACTATTTAGGGCTTGTCCAGCGAAAACACAAAAATACATTTTAAATCAAGCAAGATACTAATTCAAAATAATTAAGTTATTCTTTCACCATTCACCAACTTAATAACCCAACCAAACAAACAATCAAACCAAAAACTATAAATATTAATAAGCATTGTCTCAAATTTCACAATGTTTTAGCAATTTTGTCAAAAAAATATTTAAGATTATGGATTGACATTTCTAAATGTTTAGCATGTTTAGAGCTAATAGAATCAATCTGGGGAATCGCTGAAATAGTGGTGACACATGTATCCACGCATCGCCGCTGCAAGAGGAGCATGAGATGCTAGATTTGAAGCTCATTTTCCTCCTCTTCACTTGTGGATCGATGGTGTTGGCATACTAGTGTTGGAGGAAGGAGATTAGAGGACTTGAACTTTTGGCTTCCTTCTCTCTTAACTAGTTTTCTCTTTCATCTTTTAGCTTTGTTTCTTTCTCTATTTTTTGTTCTTGATCTTCTCTTTCTCTATGATTTTGGATGTGCTCGTGATGGTTGTGCTGAAAATCAAGTGATGACCAATGGTGGTAGAGTTGTTGTCACTGTTTGTTCGATTATAGTTTTTTTGTGGACATTGTCATTAGCACGATCAATTATGGAGAGAGTTCACAATGACAATGAAGTGATTACATGAAAAGAGAGGTTGTGCTTGTATTTGTGTTAGTCTCAATGGTGTTATAACTATTTAGAGAGAAAAGGAAGTCAAGAAGCTAGAGTTATCAGTTCAGCCACAGGTTAGTTAAAAAATGAAGTTTATAATATCAGCTGTAGGTTAGGTGAGAGTTATTGTTGGTTGTTTTTTGGCTCTTGGGTGATGTTGGCATTGTTACTATCAATAGGTAATGTATTTTAGCTTGAAAAATTAGTGGAGATGGGTTGGTTTGTGTGGGTCTTAGTGTTTAACTTCTAGGATTGAAGAAAGACACAATATTTATGGTTGGTAGGATTCAAGTGAAAGAAGATGGTAAGGTTGTGATGGTTGGTAGAGGAGCTCATGGCTGATATAAAAAAATAGAGGAAGGTGAAGGGCCATTCTTAGTATTTTTATAGAAAAGAAAGATAGGTTGATGTTTTTAATTAGTGGTAGTTGTTGTTTATGGTGGTTCAATATCAGGAAAAAGGTAAGGAGATGGAATTGTGGAAGCAAAGGAGAGTTTGTGAGTGACGATGTTGTTTTTTTATTATCGAGAGAGAGAGAGAGAGGCTATATTGGCTTGATAGCACTGAAAATGGTTGGGAAAGTTTCAGTTGGAAGTTTGGGTGCTATAGCTTTTGTGTGGAGGTTGTCCTTACTAGTGGTGATCCGAATGTTGAATGGTTGATTGTTACTGATGCCTTTTGATAGTTGGTTACAAGCTGATGTTGGGTTCTTTGATGGCTAATAGTAGGATTGTTACAAAGAAAGTTTGATAATGATGGGGTTTTTTTCTTCTATTAATGACCCATCTAAAACTCGATCCAGATTTATGATTGGAGGAGGCTAGATAATCAGGTGGACCCGATAAAAATCAAGTTTACAACATTAACACGACCAAAAGATTGGTGTCTTCTCCCAAATATAAGAGTGTTGAAGTAATAAATAACCCAGCAAGATCGGGGTCAAACCACAAGGAGGTCAATTATATAAATTATAAACAACAATAATACAACAACAATAACAGTAGTAATAGTAGTAGTAATAGTAAAGAAGAAGAAGAAGAAGTTAATGAGAACTTTGAGATGGAAGATCAATGTGAGGATCAAAACATGATAAAAACAAATGTCAAGTGATACGACCAAAAGATTGATGTTTTCTCTCAAGTATAGCAGTGTCAAAGTAATAAATAACCCGGCAAGACTATGGTCAAACCACAAGTAGGTTAATTGTATAAATTATAAATAACAATAATACAACAACAACAACAACAACAACAACAACAACAATAATAATAATAGAAGAAGAAGAAGAAGTTGATGAGAACTTTAAGATGGAAGATGAATGTAACGATTAAACAATGATAACAATAAATATCAAGGTTAGAGGATCCATTAATGGTATGTCTAACAAGTATAGTATAAACTCTTATTATTCATTAGAAACCACACACAAAGGAGGTTCCAATCAAATTATAAATTATTAACACGATTACATTAGTTATCTTATTCAATTAATGCTAATACTTGTCAATATTTTAGGCATTTATGATTATAACTTATGTTAACAACAAATCAAGTTTCTTTTATAGCTCAAGTGTCGGTTATACCATACAGTATAGGCTATAAGAGTGCCAAGTATTTGTTGTACCAAGTATTATACAACATAAATCTAGATTAGTCATTTAGCAAGCAAAGTATTAAAGAGTGAACAAGATAACAAATACAAAACATGTTAGTGTCAAACATGAAAGTCCATATTAAGTTTACACTATACTTATTCTTACACCATTAGTCTAATCTTTTCACCTTGACATAATAAACTTAGCTAAACATAATGAAAGAAAGAAAAATAAATAAACAAAATAAAAACATAAATAGGATAAAAGTTAATTAAGTAAAGGAAAGAAAATGAAAGGCATAAATAAGATATTAATGAAAGCAAAACATAAACATTACAAAAAATACAAAGAGAGAAAGCAAGAGCATGATCTTGCTCTAGAGACCAAGATGCCTAAATGCATGGCAAATGCCTCCTTTTATAGGCTAAAATCAGGAACTATTGATTTGATGACTAATTGATGAGTAGGTGGCCAACTCTTGACTTAGTAACAATTCTTATCTTCTCTTGTCTGCCCAAAACGTCATTGATAATGTCAGAATTGAACCACTAGACACATGAAAGTTATAGGAAATTATCTCATATTTCCAGAAAAAAAAAAAACAATGGAGGTCATTTGGACTTCTAGAACTTCAGATATGGGTCAACCACTGAACAATGTGTGGGTTGTAGGATAGATTTGGATTTCTTTGTTGTTGCTACAATTTAGACTTAAAAATGGTCTTTTTAAATCTTGGGCTCCATATGAAAGTTGTAGGCCTATGTCTTACTGACACGACTAAAAGATTGATGTCTTCTCCCAAGTGCAGGAGTGTCGAAGTAATAAAT